GGCCGATAGTAATGGTGGGGATCTAGACTCTCAGTTAGAAGAAAGACAAACTCATTAAGAATTAAAGAATGGGGGCTTCCCTGGTGGCGCAGTGGTTGAGAATCTGCCTGCCAATGCAGATGACACAGGTTCGAGCCCTGGTCTGGGAAGATCCCACATGCCATGGAGCAACTGGGCCTGTGAGCCACAATTACTGAGCCTGCGCGTCTGGAGCCTGTGCTCCGCAACAACAGAGGCCGCAATAGTGAGAGGCCTGCGCACCGCGATGAAGAATGACCCCCACTTGCCACAACTAGAGAAAACCCATGCACAGAAATGAAGACCCAACACAGCCATAAATAAATAAATAAATAAATACATTGTGTATTATTAAAAAAAAAAAAAAAAGAATTAAAGAATGGGAAAGGAAAAAATAAAGAGTATGTGGTCAAAGACGGAACTTTTAGATGTAAAGATCATTTTTTAACAGTTCATGCTTTTAAACCAGCTTTTAAACCAGTGTATTATTATAAGTTAAACCACTTTTACAGATATAGCTAAAACACCTATATCAAGTATCAAGATTGCTCCTCCCTGCTCTGTCCAGTTGATGCTTCTTTCATCTTCTTCCATCAGGTTTTCCATGTTCGTCTCTTGTCATTTATCTTATATTCCTCCAGGCATTATCTTCCATCTTGCTGAATCTCAAGACCTCCTACGGAAATTTATCCTTAGTTCTGACACTTGAAATGTTCAGTTAATTCATCTTTGTTCTTGTCTTTCTGTGTTTTAAAATGTTTACTGTGTGTCCAGTTTTACAATATCTAACCATAACACTGAATTTCAGAATTCTCCAATATTTAACAAAGAAAATAGGCATGAAAATTGAAGCTATGAGATTAAATGTCTACAATCAACATATGGTATATACATCATATATCATTTCATCTGAAATAATCTTTAATTCTTAATAAATAAAGCTTACAGTATACAGCAAGATTAGATTACCTGGGTTTTTTAGACTTAAACTTAACAATGGTGTGCCTTGATGTAGTCAGTGAATGAAATAAGCCAATTATTAGCCCGCTCTGACAAGGAGAGGCCAGCTCAGTATAATCCTAAGTGTAACCAGTCAATTGTAACTTCCCTGCATTTAGGCAGCTACAGTATTTATATTTGAGGGTAGAAGACAGCAGCATCCGCCACTCCACTGAGTGGGTTGGCTAGCCTTCCACAGCCTGAGTGTCCTTTCCATAAGAAAGAATAAGAATATAATGTTGCCATTGATGATATCATTATTACCATAACAGCAATAACTACCATTTCTTGGCACTTACTATAATTCAGTCACTCTGCGTTATGTAATTCACATACTTGCCTCAGAGATGTGTATAAATTCCCCACTTTATAGATTAAAAAAAGAAAGCAAAACTCTGAAGGTCAATCTACCCTTATAGAAGGGGTCTTCAGACCATAGAATATAATACAACTATTAAAGGTAAGCTCTGAATGAAACTTTTAAATTGCTTTTAAATGCTATATTACTCTAAAATGTAGCCTGGATCAAACTTTCAAGCATAATATTACTAATTAGTAAGTAATTAAAAACAAGCAGTCTAATCATCTGGAAAGAATGCATTTCAATTTTTCAAAAATATGAAACTATATTTCAAGAAAATGAAACATCTATATCAGATACGTTGCCACAATGACAACAACGAATCCATAGTATAACCACAGCACTAACTGTACATTTTATGGTAGACTCCTCAAACCATTTTTCCAGTTATAAGACTTAACATCCATAGTTTGAACATTTTTATAAATTATTTTCCAGAAAAATAAGATAGTATCCAACTTTTTCCTTTTTTCTGTGTTATTGAAAAAGTGTGTGAAATAGCTTCTCTCTTCCCCAACAACAGTCTTTTCACCCACTTCATCCTGAAGAGGAAAAGAAAAGGGGAAGGGAGGTGGCAGAGAAGTGGGAAGGGAATGCATTCTCCTTACATAACTAAATGAGGGAGGGCAGGAAGTGGTACATTGAACAAGAAAACGTTTTCTCTTTCTTTAGATAAATGATTTTCCCCACCTCTCACCCAAAAAAGAAAAATGGGTTTACCGTTGAATTCCTCTTGACCACATCTTCCTGTTTGTTCATCCTCTCAAGGGATTATAAATTTTAGTTAGTATTTCTTTACATCCTTTTTTTTGTGTGTGTGTTGGATTTGGTTATTTTCAACAGAAGAGCAAGCATTTAGAATTTAGGAAGGTTTAGTTTTAGAAAAATAGTAGTCCATTTAGCTTAAAATAAGTAAGCACAAGTGAAATGCATTGACGTTTTTGAAAACAAGACCTTTGTATAATCCACTGACATGCCCAGTGCCATTAAAAGTAGCTTTTAGGTATATAAATATTCATTTTTAATGGCTATTTGCATACATTCTATGCAATGCTTCTTCACCATCATATGATGTTAGTCCTCTGATTACTTATTTTGTGTTGATATTGCAATTGTTCTTTTTGTGTGTGTTTTTATTTAAATATTTATTTATTTACTTATTTGGTTGCATCAGGTCTTACTTATAGCAGGTGGCCTGCTTAGTTACGGCTCACCAGCTTCTTAGTTGTGGCACATGGGCTCCTCAGTTCTGGCAGGCAGGCTCCTTAGTTGTGGCATGCAAGTGGGATCTAGTTCCTGGACCAGGGATCGAACCTGGGCCCCCTGCATTGGGAGTGTGCAGTCATTTGTTTTTTTTTTAACATCTTTATTGGACTATAATTGCTTTACAATGGTGTGTTAGTTTCTGCTTTATAACAAAGTGAATCAGTTATACATATACATATGTTCCCATATCTCTTCCCTCTTGCGTCTCCCTCCCTCCCACCCTCCCTATCCCACCCCTCTAGGTGGTCACAAACCACCGAGCTGATCTCCCTGTGCTATGCGGCTGCTTCCCACTAGCTATCTATTTTACGTTTAGTAGTGTATATATGTCCATGCCACTCTCTCATTTTGTCACAGCTTACCCTTCCCCCTCCCCATATCCTCAAGTCCATTCTCTAGTAGGTCTGTGTCTTTATTCCCGTCTTACCCCTAGGTTCTTCATGACCTTTTTTTTTTTCTTACATTCCATATATATGTATTAGCACACGGTATTTTTTTTTCTCTTTCTGACTTACTTCACTCTGTATGTCAGACTCTAGGTCCGTCCACCTCACTACAAATACCTCAATTTCGTTTCTTTTTATGGCTGAGTAATATTCCATTGTATGTATGTGCCACATCTTCTTTATCCATTCATCCAATGATGGACACTTAGGTAGGGGAGCACGCAGTCTTAACCACTGTGCCACCAGGGAAGTCCCTGATATTGCAATTGTGATGGGTGGTGTTTAGCAGTAGCTTTTAATATAAGTAGGCAAAACCACTAGTGCAAACAGGAGCTATGTAGAGAACCATAATGCTATTAAATGTTATAATTCTATATTTTTGTTATAGCAGCATATATGACATGGATATTTCATTTCCTTGAACCATAGTAATTTTTGAAAATTTGAAATATTTATATTGAGATAGTCATTCTTCCTACAAAGATTAGACTGTTAATTTTTAATTACCTATAAATTAGTAACACCATGTGTCAAATATAAATCAGGTTAGTATTTTAGATTGTTAGAACATTTAAAATCATTTTAAAAGCACTGATTCATAGCTTACCTTTGATATTATTATTTTAAAATACCATAGTGACTCAGAGTGATTGAAAGCAGATAATTATTAAGTAACCAGAGACTTTAAGGGCAAGATTATAAAATATTCTTAGTCTTAACTTCACAAAAGGCTAATGAAGCAAATTGCTTAAATAACATGTATTTATTAGAAAATACTAAATCATAAATATTTTATAAAGATACTACCTATATCTTTAGCTGAGGACTAGTAAATGAGTCATTTTTGTATTTTGATCTCATTAATAAGAACTTAATAGTGGTTGAAGCTCAATGAATGAAATAAAGTTCCTCTCAGTAGAGACTATATCTCTAATTAAATTTCTTTTTCCACTTGACTTCCAGCTTTTACTGAGCTCTTCCACCTATATAACTTAATTTCAAATCTTATTAATTTTTTTTTTTGCGGTACGCGGCCTCTCACTGTTGTGGCCTCTCCCACTGCGGAGCACAGGCTCCGGACACACAGGCTCAGTGGCCATGGCTCACGGGCCCAGCCGCTCCGCGGCATGTGGGATCTTCCCAGACCGGGGCACGAACCCGTGTCCCCTGCATCGGCAGGTGGACTCTCAACCACTGCGCCACCAGGGAAGCCCAGCCAAATTTTATTAATTTTTGTTCTTCTATTTGTATGTCATCCACCTGATAGTTTAACTTCAGACCATTAAATAAAAAACAAAGTTTACTTCCCTTTTCATTCTAGATAGTTATATTGGATCAGGGACTTCTTTCTACCTTTTAATTATTTTGAGAGTTTTTAAAAAGTAAAAATTTCTAGGAGCTCTTCAATATAAAGCCACAGAAAAACAGTACAACCTTCTTTTAGCATCTTAAACCTCCATATTATATTTTTATGTTTGAATTCATCTTCACCTCTTCCTCCTCCAAAAATGCTTTAGCACTTTTCAAACTTTCCTATGAAATGTAGGTAAGAACGTTTTAGAAATTTTAGAGAAACATTGACAAAATTGTTACCAATTGCAGGTATTACATGATCAGGTTATTTGTCCCTTGAGTTGATGTTCTGGAAGTGATAGAGAAAAAACAAGAAATTAAGCAAAATATAAACAGTATTTAGTTATAAACTCATCACATATTTTTCCTATAGTTTTGTAATTCTGTGAGTCACCTCAAAATCTAGTATTGTTCTTATGATTGATTTTTCAGTAAATGCAACATTGACATTTGTTTGGAGGAAATGAAGACTTGCTTACCTATACTTAGAGTCCATTTGGGCACTAATGGTACTGATATTCACATATTGCAATCTTTTTTTTTTTTTTTTTTTGCAGTTTTACTAAAGGGAGGAAAAAAAGAGGAAGAAAAGCCATTTAGAGACTGTGCAGATGTATATCAAGCTGGTTTTAATAAAAGTGGAATCTACACTATTTATATTAATAATATGCCAGAACCCAAAAAGGTAAAACCAGAAGTGTTTGTTTATGAGATGTAAAGCAGATCCTAGTTGAATTGCTGAATAATCAGATTGATTTGTGGGCTTGTTAAACGGAAAATATATGTGCCTGAGCTCTTTTCTCCCAAAGATACTCTGTTTCCCAGGTCCATAAAAGATGAAAACCCTATTGTACAGACCTCTTCCAACCCTCACATATCCCATCCCTATTTCACACAAAGTTTTCCATTTACTCTCTGCTCATTCCTGGAATGTCCCATTGTTCATAAATACTTGCCTTGTACAGATTGCATGTTGAAGTCACATATACTTCAAGTGCATGGAGATGAGTTAGGAACCATCTTCTAAAGTCCCAAGGACCCAGATGGTACACATCATCTACAGTTCAAATACTGTGGAGAGAGAGCTAGAGATATGTTTCTAGAACCACTGCTCCTATTTGGGTAGAGAAACATATTCGATCTTAACTCATAATCTTGAAAGGATTTGCTTTTCATACTTACCTAAAAGAGTGTGTTGGAGGATAGTTTTCATCAGTATATTGAACAGGATCCAAAGTAAACTCTGAAGTAAGAAAACACTGTCTTGCTGTCACACCTCCTCTATATACGCTTTCTCCCTATTTATTCATTAAATCATCCATCCATTCCTTCATTCAATACATATTATGTCATTTATTTGTCAGTAAATGACTAGGGACATAATATAAAACAGTTCCCAGTGTAGTGGTGAAGACAGGCAATTACACAGAAATTATAACATACTGTAGAAGTGTAGTGATAGAGGCTGTTTGAAGCAGGGTTTATGGAGAGCCTTGAAGAAAGCCTTGTTTTTCAACATATAAAACACTTCAGCCAGATGCTCAAGACCCCAAGAGGACCACCTGCCCTTGCAGTGCTTTATCCTCAAAAGATGGAACAATTTTTCTCCTTTCATTGCCCCACCTAAATTACCAGTCCTTTGTCCCCATTTCCTCTGGGTACTGTGCAAATGCTCTTGGAAGGCTTTCCCTGATTCCCTCAAGCAACTTTGCATGACTCTCTCACTACCAGAATTCTCTGAAGCAAGGATTTTACTTTTCTCTTTGATTTCCCAGGACCCAGAATAGTTTCTGGCACATAATAGGTCCTCAGTAAATATGTGCTGAAATGAATGAATAAATAAATGACCTGCTGATGATAATACCAACACTTCTGTGTAGTATATAGTAAGTAAACCTAACTTGCTTAGTCATTCTTATTGTTAGTTTCCTTTGATGGGTGAGGGAAATGGATCATGGAGACCAGTTTGCCAGATGTCACAGATGTCACACATATGTCAAGAGGGAGAGTCTGGACTCTACTATCCTCTCTGCTGATTTCAGTGAGGATTAGTGGTTTAAGTTAGCTCAATGATTTTTCCCTTTGCTGGAACAAAATTTTCTTCTGGAAAGAGGTCTTCCATACTGACCTATAACAGGGGGAAGAGATAGAGAAAGTGCAGGGGGTAAAAAAGGTGGCAGGCAGTTATGGACATTGCTACCTGGGTCACCTACCAGAGAAGTTTGGTTTCACTGTATTTCATTTTGGGCTTCTGTGCAAAATTTCACTGAATCAGGTGATCCATGTCTTAAAAAAAAAAATTGTGAAGGTACAATAGCAAGTTTAGGAGTAAAGAGGAGAGGGTAATTTATTGTAAAAATGAGCTTTTTGAATCCTTTGGATCATATGACATGAAACCTTCCTACTCTGCTTACTGATATCTTAAAATCATACTTAAGTTTAAACTCAATTCATACATGTGCACAGGCATGTATGCGCACCCACACACTGACACACCATACAGATGGCATGTGAAGTGTGTTAGAAACTGTCCCGGGGGAGAGAAGTAGAGCTAACATAAATACTTTCTGCAATTTACCTATTGTGCTGCCCAAGACCTGAAAGAACCCCTAAATGATTGTCACGTCCCCTCTAACATAATGACTATAAAAATAAAGTTAACTAAAAATATTGTGATCCTCCTTTTAAACTGTTAGTAATTATATATGTATGAATATATAAGTCAAATAATTTTTAAAGTTTTTAGATTAACTTTTACACTTTTAGAATCTTTTTCAGTCCATCACCAATACTACCACGTGGCCCTTAGTGAGAGCATTACAAGTAAAGTTTGATCATTCCATTAAATTTAAGTCATGTAAATTCATAACTCTATTCTAGCTCAAAATGTTTTGAGATGCAAATAATGCACAGGCTATTTGCAGAACCACTGCCTCTGTTAGGGTGGAAGAAAAGTTTCCTAACTCATAATCTTGAATAACTCATAAACTTGAATAATAACTCATAAACTTGAACAGTAACTTATAAACTTAAATAAATTTGCTTTTTTAAAAGATTTACATGAAAGAGTGGGTTAGAGGATCCAGTTCACTAGTTCAGTGGCTGACTTCTATGTTGGTTTCACAAGGATAACATGTTTTAAATTTACGCCTCTGCAAAATAATGAATTTTACATATTATAGAGCTTCGGTGGTGTTCTTAAAAAAAATCTAAAACATTAAATCAACAAATGCCAAATACCTGCTAAATTAAACTGCCTAGATTTAGTCCCAGGGAAAAATATTACCCCAAACAGATTAGCAATCATATCAATACAGGCCTGTAAGAGGCAAATTTTATCACTATAGAAACAGCCCCATGACGCTTCAGATGGAAGAAGGAGAAATTCACGTCATTTGTACTGTCATTAGATTTAGTTTAATTGGAAATAATAGCAGAGCATGGTGAGAGGGGGCGATAACTGACCGTAAGGAAGAAAGACTTTGGCCTTCTTCTTGACTTAAGTGTTCATTCCCTTGTTTTATTCTTTCCCTTTTCTGATCACGATCCTCTCACAAGTAGTAATATTGTTCTGTTATGGAGATGGATACTTTAGGCTGATGCACCTGCACTTTCTGGTAGGTAGCAAGTTTTGTTTTAAATCCCTTATTATATTCACATAGCTTAACATTAGTGAGAACAAATATTGTGTGAACTTCCCCAATGTAATTTAGAAACTGATTAATATAATAGTTCAAAAGTACTGTGCATTTACAGTTTGCCAGGTTCTATTCTAAGCACTTTAGATATATATACTCACTTGTTTACTCCTTTCAATAACTCTATGATATGGGTGCTCCCATTATCCCTATTTTAGAAAAATAACTTGCCCAAATCACATAGTCAATATTGAACACAGACTTTGTAACAAAGGAATTAACTCTAGACTGTACCATCTTAAGAGGGGACTAAGTAGGATAATTACTTATATTAGTATTGACTGAAGCCGTACCATTCATAATTTTTTATAGGAACCTATGTGAATGACACGGCTAAGAGTTTATTGTCAGAAAATTATGCTCTGATTGTAAGCCATCCCACTTCCTCATTTTCTTTTCTTATTTTGATATAAATAATTGGTATCCTCTCAGTTCTATAAAAAGTGCTTGGAAAATGCATCTTTAGGACCTTCACCCTTCCATGTAGATTATACTTTGGAGCTATAAAGTTTGGTGCTAATCGTGGATATGCTTAACAAAAACTTTGCTCATTTTAATGCTTGCAGAAGTTCTAGCAAGGGTGAGAAACTCAAGGCAAGCCTATATAAAAACAAAACATAAAGTTCAATTATGTATGATATAAGATATGGATCAATCAATTAAATTGGCCTATTTAGGCAATTAACAAAAACTATTAATAGGAATTATTAATTTTAGGCAGAGTGAGAGTTGCAAGTATACACAGTTGTTACACAGTTGTCTTGACTGACATCATTCCCTGCCAAGAAAGACTGTCTGCAAAAGTTAGAAGAGTATTATCTTTTCAAATGTGACATGGAAGGGCTTCCCTGGTGGCGCAGTGGTTGAGAGTCCGCCTGCCGATGCAGGGGACACGGGGTTGTGCCCCGG